TCTCTCTCTCTCTCTCTCTCTCTCTCTCTCTCTCTCAGTGTGTGTGAGACGGACCCGTTGAGGTTGGTGTTTTATTGCACCACGAAATAACCTACAAAAAAAAAAAAAAATCGAAATAACCTACAAAATAACAAACCAAAATGCTTATTTTGGCTGGTTGCACTTTTTCTTTTTCGTTTTTAATTAAAAAAATCTATTATTCGTGAAAAAAAATTGAAGAAGATATGGGGGGTTACCCTCCAATGACCCCCACCCTCCTATAAAAAAGAAGCACCCCCCCCCCGGAAAAAAAAAACAAAACCGATCCTGCTCTCCATGAACTCCATGAACTCCCATGTCGTGAACTCCGTGAACTCCATGACTGGTTTGTCCACAGACCCCGTGAATGGTGAACGGTGAACGGGGGTACGGCACTGGTTATTGGTGCATTGTCCTTGGTAAGTTGCAGGGGTTGCTGGTTGGTTTGAGTCTGTTTGACCTTTATGCTTAGCATATTTGCTTAGCATTTTTTTTTTCTGTTCTTCTGTGGTCAGTCAGCGCATTTGCGCCCGTGTTTGGTGCACTCAATGCCACTCGTCACCTGTCTACTAGTATGTGGTTTTGTCTGTTTTCTTAACGTGTTTTGCCTTGCAAATTGTTTTTCCTGATATGACCCCTGGTGTCTGCACCTTTGTGGATTGGGACAGATGGAATGGGTTGCGGGATACTCTTTTGAACCTCAAGGTAAGGTGGCTTTTTCGATCTCATTCCTCCCTCTCCCCATAGCATTCTTTCTCCCATGTCTCCATCCTGGATCATCAGCACCACCTTTTTGCTGATGGCACTGATGCTCTGAGACCTCCCTTAAGGCTTATGCTCTTTCTAGGTGGTAGTGAGGACCCCAAGTCTCCCAAGATGGCCTCAAGGAGGCCTCAGGCGTTGATCATCCGTTGTGTTAGGGGTAGTAGGGGTACATAGAGCTCTTCCTTTGGTAATTTGCTATTTCAGAGAATTTTCTCTGAAATAGTACAGTCATGTTAAACTGAGTACTATCAGATGGGCAAAAAAAAACAAAAAAAAAACACACATTGGCAAAGAAAACCGTGATGAGTTCGAACAGGGAACGGTATGGTCGTGTTGTCAAATTGGTGTCATATTTACAGGGGGCAGCTGTGGTGTTAGAGGGGGGGAAATTAAAAAATAAAAGGAAATGCCCAATGGAAACTTTTGGATCAAAATTGCTCAGTAATTTTCGAGTGGGCACATGGTTTCTTTGCTGGTGTGAGTTATTTTTGCCTTTACGGTTTCAAAATATGCTGGAGAGAGAGAGAGAGAGAGAGAGAGAGAGAGAGAGAGAGAGAGAGAGAGAGAGAGAGGGGAGAGAAGATAAGTCTCCAACTGTGCGGCTGGCCTCACCGTACTTCATTGGGTTGGATGAGCAAAATAGAATGAATCTTCAACTAGACATGGAACTATACATTGCCGTGTGTGTGTGTGTGTGTGTG